AAGAGAGATAACCAGTCGGAGGGATTGTAAGAGCTACTCAAGGGTCTGAGGAGAGCTGACGATCATCAAGTTCACATTACTGTTCCTGTGTCTGTGATGAGTGAGAAGATGAATGATGATGTCGAGAAACTCGTCTCCAGCTTCATCAAAGACCTAACTGAACAGATGGAAAAGGATCTGAATGAGGAGGACTGTGGAGGACCAGAACCTGCCGAGAACTCTCAAGATCCAGAATGTACATTTACAACATTTACAACCTTGAATACCAGGTGGGCTACCAATGACATGAATTCACTTCTCTGAACGCCAAGCTGATGAACAATGATGATGATTTAAAAACGTCCTGGACAGAAATTTCGTTGCCCTGTGTGTGTAAAATTTTAACATAAGAAAGAAATCTGAATATACACATGAGAAATCATACAGGAGTAAAACCTTTCAGCTGCTCTTTGTGCAGTAAAAGCTTTACTCAAAAGCAGGTTTGGGACTACCACTTAAAAACTCAAGAAGGAGAGAAAACCATTCAAGTTGCTCATTTTGTGGTAAAAGTTTTGGCCAAAGGCAACTCTACGAGCCATTCCTAACGTGTCATATCAGGAGAAAAAACCCTACAGCTGCTCCTATTTGTGATCAAAGTTTTGCGATGTGACTTTTACAGGCACACATGAGAACGCACACAGGGGAGAAACCGTTCAGCTGCAACGTTTGTGACAAAAGATTCACAAGGAAATATCAGTTAAAAATACACAAGTGTGGAGGTGAGTCTTCGCGGCTTCACGAACTCTGGACGAGTCGGGAGGGAGAGCAGCTTAAGGGTTCGCCATTCATCCTGTGTCTGTGAAGAGTGAAGGTGATGACGAAGAAGAAACTCAGTCCTCACCAGCTTCATCAAAGACTAACTGAACAGATGAAAGCAGAAGCTCATGGAGAGGACTGTGGAGGAACCAGAACCAGCCAGAAACTCAGACCCAGGTAGTCTTGAGTCACATGGGCTAACGTGTAACTCATTCATTGGACAGTTCTGGTGATGTCATCCAGTTGTTGGTCTTTGACTTAGTGGAGATTTACAGTAAAATACAAACGAGGGAAAACAGTTTTTGCTGAGTTTCAGTTTGTGGTTAAGGATTTGTCAGCAGGTTAATTAGCCAGTAATTAGTCGTCTTCTGGTCGCTGAATAATAGGGATGTCATGATACAATTAACTCACTATTCTCTTTTTTTTTTTTTTTTT